ACACATACACATATACATACATACATACATACACATATACATACATACACACATACATACATACATACATACATACATACATACATACATACATATACACACACATATTATATACATATACTAAAATAACTTACTACTACTACTTGGACTACTGTAGCTAGGCTTGTCGCAATAGACAATAAATCAATTAATTCAATTCAATTATACTTTATTTATCCCAAAGGGAAATTATTTGTTGTTGTATCTCGTTATCCTCATTTCATTTAGAGATGTTATAGATGCTGATAATCGCATGATAAAAGAAAATGATCAACCTCATTTTCATTTATCATCTTTATCGTTCCTTCGTGTCTCTTTCTACTAAAGACACTGGATGACAAAAAGTTCAACTCTGGTGTTTTTCCACTGACCCCTCCCTTTCTCTTTAAAATCCATTTTAATGATCCAAAATAGCGTTTTTGGATCATTAAAAGCAGCTAAGCTGAGAAGCTAAGCTACGAGCTAAGCTAACATATATTAAGAAAAAACCTCTGTCTTTTCGAAGCTCCAAAATTCACAGTTGAAACCCGTGCCTTCGTGTAAAACGTTGTTTTTCTCTGTAAAAAGAAGCTGAGAACTTGTTTACTGATTTTTTTATTTTTATTAAAAGGTTTGTGTGATAAATGTTATGCTAAAGAGCTCAAACCACACAGAGCGTCCGCCATTTTGAGAACCGAAGAGAGACAGCCCATGTCACATCAAGGGGCCTCCCTCCCATTTTTCTTAAAGAGACACGCTGCTCGCTTCCTCACTATCCATCCTTCGGTTCAAACAGTCTTTTACTTCATCTGGTGGTCGAAAAAAGGTACAACACACAAAACAAATTAACCAACATTTCATCTCAAATTTGACAATAATTTCTCATTATTGTCAAATTTTAAATAATATTATCGTTTATCGCAATAATTTCGGAAGCAATTAATCGCCCAGCAAAATTTGTTATCGTGACAAGCCTATCTCACTTCACAGTTTTTCCACTTATCACGGTGGGGTTGCATGGTCCCTAACACCCATGATAAATGAGGGAGCACTATTTGGCTTTTTCAACCATGTTTATCTCAAGAGATCACTTTACGTTCCTCAGACTTTTTGTGCTGTTAGAGGTGCAACCACCTTTTACATCTTATTTCAGCTGTTTTTCTGGTTCACCTTTTTCAGCTTCTATGTGTTGACTTCAGCTGTCTTCAGCTCCTTTCAGCTTCTTTTTGCTCATTTAAGCTATTTTTCTGCTTTCAATTTCTTTCTGCTAATTTCAGCTTTTTTTTTTTTTCAGATTCTTACTACCAGTTTCATCTTTTTATATTCCTTTCAGCTACTTTCAGCTAAATTCAGTTTTTTTCAGCCACTGTTCTGTTAAATTTATACATTTTCTCTGTTATTATTATTTTGTTTAGCAAATACCAGACTTTTGTGCTTTTTCTAATAATTTAAATTTTTCATGCTCCATTCAGTCTCTTACTGCTAATTCACGCTTTTTAAAAACATTTTCAGCTACTTTTTGCTCATGTTCATTTCTTTTTTTTGCCAATTTCAGATTGTTTATAATCAGTTCAGCCTCTCTCTGCCTATTTTAACTGATTCGGCTACATTTCTGCTCTTTTCAGGTTTTCTACATATTTCTGCATTTTTTTCTACTGCTTTCCACATTTATTTTACTGATTTTATCAAAAGGCCGCTGTTCAGTTTCAGTTCGCATTAACAATTCTGTGATGAAACCATTTCAGCCTGATTTCATTTTTCCAAAGTTTTCAGCAAAAAACTGCATTTTTACAGGAAATACAGTTTCTGTAGTTGATAATGCATTTGTTTTTGTTTTTTTTTCCTCTCAGAAATGCCAACAAGAACTGGACGAAGATTCAGGGGCACTTCTTCTTCGACACCTTTCATCCTGTCAGAGATTATAGTGTTGAGGTGAGCTTGTGGGGTTTGTGTGTTTAATTTAAGCTGCAGTGAAACAACAAGTTGATCTTTTATTTCTCTCTTTTTTAGACCATATTCTACACTTTTCCCAGTCTATCAGAGTTATCTGACGACGAGTGGATTCCACTATGGAAGTTTGAGAAGCTGTCTTTGTTTCCTGAAAGTTCGTCGTGTCCTTTGAGAAATCCTTCTCCTGATTTGGGCCGGCTGCAGCCTGGAGACTGGATTCAGCAGGACAGAAGTACAGTAACACGCCTCTGCTGCTCACCGTGACGCTAACTTACTAAAGTTAACAAGGTGCTGCATCTTCCAGGTGAACAGGATAAGGAGGAGCGCTGGGCCGAGGTGCAGAAGAAGATCACACCCTGGAGGTTAGACGTCCAGAATCAGGAACCAGAACTTCAGCTGGTTCCAGCACAGAGAGCTGCTCGGATTGGCAAGCAGCAGGGCGCCCTGCTGGTTGTTGCTTCGCTCATCGACAAGCCCACCAATTTGGGAGGTGTGAAACTGCACATCTTATAAAATTATGTCACGATACTTATAAAAAAAAATTCATAATTCATTGCTCATCTGAATTTCCATTTGATCCGTTAAACTCTGTTTCATACAATAAGTTTCAAATTTAGTTTTAACTAGATTTTAAAGTCGTTTCGACAATTCAAGAGTGATTCCAGTGGAGTGACCCTGTCTGACTTAATAAGCAGATACAACCGAATATCATCAGCAAAGCAAGGAAAAGGGATGTTATGTTTTCTAAAAATGGACCCCAAAGGCAACATGTAAATATTAAAAAGCAGTGGACCTAATATAGACCCTTGAGGGACCCCACAGATTAGAGGAGCTGCATATGATGAACATTCCCCTAATTGAACAGAAAAACTCCCGTCAGATCGTCTTCAGGTGTTTTCCAGCGCTGTTATCTTTGGTGATAATCAAAATCAGAATAGCTTTATTATCATTTCATCGAAGTACAGCGATATTATATTCCATAGTCATCAGAAAGAGGGGCGAGTGTACGTGGCTGCTGCTCCTAGGAGTGTGGCCCCTTATTCTTGATAGAAAAGGGGAGAGACCATGAGGATAGGATAGTGGGTATTAAACAAAAGATCTCTTCACACCTTGTCCTTGTCCATACATGATTTAACAAATCAAAAAAAAAAAAAAAAAAAAATCTACCAGCAAGCACATTTATAAACATATTGCATATATATTTGACGACAAGACGCTGAGCTTTGTCCATGAAGCACTTCCAGATAGCACCATAGTCCTGATAAGATGATAATGTGTCAGCCGCTACAGCTCTGATAAGCGTTCACAGAAGTTCTCGAGGTGGACAGAGCAGAGCCTTCTCAGTTCACGCACCCCCAGGAGCAGTTTGATTAGTTGGCCTAGTCAAGGCTGAACAGGGAGGCCAGATTCAGATAAGCCACAGTTGGTTTTTGTGCAGACAGACTGTTTTCCTTGTCAGCCTCGAGTTCTGCTGGTACTCTCGATGATCCAAAATGGCCAGATTTATGGGCTTTCCACTGGTCTGTGCTTATTAGCCTCCTTCAAGATCGACTTCCAACATGCTGGCGAGTTCCAGAAGCCGCAAGTGGCCTATGATTTTCATAAATCGCTTCCATCTTATGATTGAGCTCGTAAATCAGTTGAGTCTGAGAGCTCCAAGCACGAATTAATCCTTCACATAAGGTAGGCAGCTTTGCCATGGCCGAAACTGCCGCCGTCTTTCTTATTAGCCGATATGTATCTGATGGTGCCAAAAAGCAGACACCCTGCTATCATAAATCCAATGATGTATAAATCTTCGACATCCTCCTGAGACAACACAGAAGGGCACATCATTTTCCACTCTCCCCACGGATCCATGATATACCCAGCCACGTGCGTCTCAGCGGGGCATGAGGGTTCTCTCTGTCGCTTGGTTGAAAAAAAAAAATGTATCAATTGCGTTGAAAGTCCAGCTGACCAAATCCATGACAGTAATTTACAATTCGGAAGATGTAAATAGAAGCTCCGATACACAGGACAGAGCAAAAAAAGCAGGAGGAAGGCAGGAGGGGGAAGAAAAGCATCTGTCTTGCTTGAGGGTGAGTGATGAAAAAAAAAGAGTGGGTGAAGCAGTCAGAAGTTTTTCATAGTGCAGCTGATTTAAATGTTACCAAATGTTCAATCATGAGCTGACACATTACTGCCAGAAACAACTAACCTTGTTTATTAGCGTTCTTCTCATAAATATCTTGTTTTTTCTATGACATGGTGATTCTATAACAGCCCAAATTCTATAAGTAACATGAACTTTATTGTGTTATAGGTCTTTGCAGAACATGTGAGATATTTGGCGCCAGAGCTCTGGTTCTGGACAGCCTCCATCACATCAATGACAAACACTTCCAGTCCCTGAGCGTCTCATCTGAGCTCTGGCTTCCTTTGTTAGAGGTGATGTGGTCAAATTGTACAAAGAATTTAGTTCCTGACTTGGCAAGTTCTGCAACAAATAAATTGTGGCGTTCACTGTGATTTCAAAATAAAAGCTCCCAGCATCTGAAACAGCTGGGAATGTTCAGCCTTTATTTTAGTCTGCACTGACTGCTATTTAAAATCTCATCTTCTGTCTATATTTGTATTTGTGCCCCCCCCCAGGTGAAGCCTGTGGAGCTCTCTGATTTCCTGCAGGCGAAGAAGAGTGAGGGTTACTGTATTGTTGGGGTGGAGCAGACTGCCAACAGCCACAGCCTCCAGGACTACAGCTTCCCTGATAAAACACTGCTTCTTCTGGGGTATGATCACGTTTAATATAATAAACTAAAATTAAAAAAAGACTAAGTGCAATGTTTTCCCCATTGGAGCAATTTTTAGCGCATACAGTAAGTGCATCCAAACCTCTGTCCTCCCTGCTCTTGTGAGTCTCATCTAAAGCTGTGAGCTGACGCAGCTGCTCAGTGCGGTTCTCCTCTGGGCACACTCCTTTCTTTTTCCGTTTGTTGTACCTGTCGGGGCATGCTCGGTAGTAATTGGCCTCTCCCTGAAGAGGGGCAAAGGATTTGAGTTTAAAGACAGGAGACGAACCAGAACGCTGACCTGTGGCTTCTCTCACTGGTTCCCTGTGTTTGCAGCTACTCGGGCGCAGCAGCACGTTCAAGATGAAATGTTTGTTCTGCCGCGGCAGAGAGGACACCTGATAACGGTGTAGTTTGTTTTCCTCTGTTCAAACACAGCCGAGCGATGCGGTTAACTTCAGCACCGTCTGCTGTAACGTTTCCGCAGCTGATTTCCCATCAGCTCATTCTTGTCTGATCCACTTTCACCCAGGATGAATGGAACTCATCACTTTCCTGCTTCCTCACTGTGTGGCTGGCTGCTGAGATTAAATTACTTTTTTCTTTTCTAAACATCTATTTGTGTTTACTTTGCACAGCTGGGGTTTAGCAGCGTGCACACCGTATTTTTCACCGTGTAAGTTGCAGTATTTTGCATAAATTAGCATGCCTGCGACTTATACAGCGACGCAACCTATTTGTTTTTTCCCATATTTATAAACCAATTTTTTTGCTGAGATCTGATGATTTCATTCATTCTGACATGAAAATATTTAACACTACTATTTTCAGCTGCTAGAGGGCGTTCGAGTCATATGGAAAGCCAAGTGTCTCATTAATAGGTAAAAGTGGCTATTAATGACACACTAGGCTTGCCATACTAAGCCGCCTTCGTCTCGCTCCGGAACTCCTGGAACAAACGTCAAATCATTTGCGTTTTGCTGCGCTGCCCAGGCGAAACGCAGCTAATTTGACCATTAAAGTGCATTTATTAAAGGAAAAGTTCAACTGAGACACACCTTTGCTATAATTTTAAACAAACAAATAATTGTTTTAAATGTTAATCTTGTTAAATTCTTGTTAAAGTCCTCCTGTGCATGCTCCCGCGGCCGCCATTTGGCAGCCAATCAATTTTTGGCACAACACCGGCCCACGTTTCTGGGTTGTCAGCGGTGACGCATAACAAACACGATGCATAATAAATGTGACCCATACGGCAAAAAGTGACATATTTGTTTTTTTTCCACTTTATTAGACATAGAGTGCCTTGTGAAAGTATTTGACCCCCTTGAACTTTTCAACCTTTTGCCACATTTCAGGCTTCAAACATAAAGATATAAAATTTAAATTTTTTGTGAAGAATCAACAACAAGTGGGACACAATCATGAAGTGGAATGAAATTTATTGGATGTGTCAAACTTTTTTAACAAATAAAAAACTGAAAAGTGGGGCGTGCAATATTATTCGACCCCTTTACTTTCAGTGCAGCAAACTCACTCCAGAAGTTCAGTGAGGATCTATGAATGATCCAATGTTGTCCCAAATGACTGATGATGATAAATAGAATCCACCTGTGTGTAATCAAGTCTCCGTATAAATGCACCTGCTTTGTGATAGTCTCAGGGTTCTGTTCAAAGCGCAGAGAGCATCATGAAGACCAAGGAACACACCAGGCAGGTCCAAGGTGCAGTTGTGGAGAAGTTTAAAGCCGGATTTGGATACAAAAAGATTTCCCAGGCTTTAAACATCCCAAGGAGCACTGTGCAAGCAATCATATTGAAATGGAAGGAGTATCAGACCACTGCAAATCTACCAAGACCCGGCCGTCCCTCTAAACTTTCATCTGGAACAAGGAGAAGACTGATCAGAGATGCAGCCAAGAGGCCCATGATCACTCTGGATGAACTGCAGAAATCTACAGCTGAGGTGGGAGAGTCTGTTCATAGGACAACAATCAGTCGTACACTGCACAAATCTGGCCTTTATGGAAGAGTGGAAAGAAGAAAGCCATTTCTCAAAGATATCCATAAAAAGTGTAGTTTAAAGTTTGTCACAAGCACCTGGGAGACACCAAACATGTGGAAGAAGGTGCTCTGGTCACATGAAACCAAAATCCAACTGTTTGGACACAATGCAAAACGATATGTTTGGCGTAAAAGCAACACAGCTCATCACTCTGAACACACCATCCCCACTGTCAAACATGGTGGTGGCAGCATCATGGTTTGGGCCTGCTTTTCGTCAGCATGGACAGGGATGATGGTCAAAATTGATGGGAAGATGGATGGGGCCAAATACAGGACCATTCTGGAAGAAAACTTGTTTGAGTCTGCAAGAGACCTGAGACTGGGACGGAGATTTATCTTCCAACAAGACAATGATCCAAAACATAAAGCCAAATCTACAATGGAATGGTTCACAAATAAACGTATCCAGGTGTTGGAATGGCCAAGTCAAAGACCTGAATCCAATCGAGAGTCTGTGGAAAGAGCTGAAGACTGCTGTTCACAAACGCTCTCCATCCAACCTCACTGAGCTCGAGCTGTTTTCCAGGAAGAATGGGCAGAATTTCAGTGTCTCCATGTGCAAAACTGACAGAGACAAACCCCAAGAGACTTCAGCTGGAACTGCAGCAACAGGCGGCGCTACAAAGTATTAACGCAAGGGGGCCGAATAATATTGCACGCCCCACTTTTCAGTTTTTTATTTGTTAAAAAAGTTTGACACATCCAATAAATTTCTCTCCACTTCACAATTGTGTCCCACTTGTTGTCGATTCTTCCCCAAAAATTTAAATTTTATATCTTTATGTTTGAAGCCTGAAATGTGGCAAAAGGTTCGAAAGTTCAAGGGGGCCGAATACTTCCGCAAGGCACTGTATAAGATATCTCATTGTGCACAAGTGGCAATTTTATTTTCATTTAGAATATTTGTTTTTAGAATAAAACATCCCAGATACTGACCCAAAATTTGGTGTGATATCTGAGTTTGTCCCCAAAACATAATTTAAATGCTCAAAGACCTCACAAGATCTTTGTTTAACATTTTGCCATTAACTATTGGAGTTAACTCTGTCTGTTAGCAAAATATGCCATAAATCACTGGACAGAATTGAATAAAAAACTTTAAGAAGTTACTAGATGTACCCTGAACTGACATGATTCTGCTTTTAAATGTTGCTGAACCCACGTGCAGGTAGACAATGGGAGACTTTCAGGTAAAAATAAGTAATTTGAATTTATTAACAAAGAAAAAAAAAGACTTACTTTCAGGAAGTAGCCGAGGAGAGGAACAGAACATGACAGCCTAGACAGGACAATGCACGGACAAAGGAGGAGCACAGAGACGCTGACTTTTTACAGACACTAACGAGACGTGATGACAAACACCTGGGGTGACGGGAACTGGAGACATGTGCGACGGGAGCTGAACGACAAGGAGGGGAAAACACAAGGATTACAGAAAAGACAGAAGTGACAGCACAAAACCACAGAAATCCCACACCTACAGCTAAATGATTTTGAAGACAACCCAATTCATAATGGTCCTCACAGCTAAATGGCCTTAAACACACACACACACACACACAAAATCTAATTTAACCATTTTTTCTCTGAAAGTGACGTTTTGTGAAACGACGTTGCACAAAACATTGTTTTCAAGATTCAACAGCTCCAAATATAAAAGGGGCGGGCTTTATGCATTTCTTCAAAGAACACTGAACCTTTATTATTGTGTGAATGTTTATGAAGCATTTTTTGATCCATTTTCCACCGTACATTTTTTGGCATCTTTCTCATTCCACAATTTTTGTGCTATTTCAGCAAGTCATTCAGCTCATTCAGGAGAAGGGTGTTATGACTTTTGGTATTGGTGCAACTTTAGCTTTTTGAGAAAATTTGCCTTTTCTGACACTTTTTTCTTCATAGAAAATGAATTGAGCTCATTTTACATCTGTTTACAACCTTTTACTGCTCCTTTCACATTTTGTTCTGGTTCATCTTCTTTCAGCTTCCATGTGCAAATTTAAAAAAAAATCAGCTACTTTCAGCTAATTTCAGTAGTTTTTTGCAGCTGTCTTTTAGATTCTTTCTGCTAACTAGAACATTTTTGTGATTCTTTTAACTTTTTTCTGCTCATTTCAGCTTGTTATGCTCCTTTCAACTGATTTACGCAAGTTTCAGCTATTTTTGCTATTTCAGTTGCTATTTAGCTGTTATGCTAATTTTAGCTTTTTCAGCCAATTCCACATTTTTTGCACTCATTTCAACTTGTTTCTGCCTAATTCAACTAAATTTGTCTCTCTCCACTTCCTTCTGGTAATTTAAGCTTCTTTCTGCCTTTTTAGCTACTTTTCAGCAGTTTATTTATTTATTTAGCTAATTTCCTCTTTTTTCAGATAATTTTCACTTTTATGCTAATTACTGCTTCTTTCTGCATAAGTAGGCAAACATGTTATTTCTGCTTTTTTCTGCTAATTTAAGTTTGTTCTAACTTTTCAACTACCTTTTTAGCATTTTTAGCTAATTTCAACTGTTTTCAGATAAATTCAAGGTTTTTTGTGGTAACTTCTGCTACTTTCAGCCTAATTAACTTCTTTATGCTAATTTTAGCTTGTAATGCTCCTTTCATCTTTTTTCTGCTAGTTTCAGTTATTTCAACTACTACCGGTAGTTAGCTGTTTTTATGCTAATTTTAACTTTTTCAGTTAATTCTAAGCTTTTTAAGCTAATTGCAGCTCCTTCCACTTCCTTCTGGTAGTTTAAGCTTCTTTCTGCCTTTTCAGCTACTTTTCAGACATGTTTTTCTAATTTCAGCCTTTTTAGCTAATTTACCAATTTTTGTGCTCTTTTCTGCTTATTTAAACCTAATTCAGCAAATATGTGTTCTTTCTGCTTTCTTCTGCTAATTTAAGCTTATTCTTCCATTTCAGGAAAATTTTATCCTTTTTTTTTTTTTTAGCTAATTTCATCTGTTTTTCAGCAAGATCTGCAATCAGCATTCATGCTGCATTTATTAAAAATAATTAAAGAAATTTTATTTCCTTCATTCATTCAACCTAAAATAAAGGTTGAATGAATGAAGGAAATAAAATGTCTTTAATTATTTTTAATAATAATTTTTTTAATCAACTGTATATTTTTGTGCCACTTTTTACTACAAATTTGTTTTTGTTTTGTTTTTTTTGTTTTTTGCAGCAATGAACGAGAAGGAATTCCTGCAAACTTACTCCAGCTGTTGGATGTGTGCGTGGAGATCCCTCAGCAAGGGGTCATCCGCTCGCTCAATGTGCACGTGAGCGCCGCCTTGTTGGTTTGGGAATACACACGGCAGCACCTCAACCCTGCTTCGTCTGAAACCAACTCAAAATGTGAATAAAAACCGAGGCAGTGAGAGCAGCCTGACGGGACGCCGCACCACCTGAAGACTCTCCTCAGCCTTAAATCCTGGTTTTAATGACCGCTGCGTTCTGTGGAGCCTGGACTTGGTTCCTTTAGGGTTCTGCAATCCTCACTTCTCCTCCTGTATCTTCATGAATAAAGATCAGTTCTGGTTGTTACGTCCAAATGTTCCACTTGCTGTGAAACTAATTGGATCCTCTCATAAATAGACATTTTGTCCTTGTGTCTCTTTTATATGAGCGATTAGTTTTGCTTTGGATCGTTATGACTGGAGTATAATGTTCACACTCTGTTACATATTCAAATAATACTATTGTTTTGGAAGATTAAATTTTTTTATTGCAGATTCAAGAGAAGTTATAATATTTTTAAATGTATATTTAAATAAAATGTAATTTTTATGCCTGTGTGTGTTCATAACAGTGTGTTCATAACATAATTAGAAGGCTTACTGCCAAAGAGCATTGAAAGGGTTAAATGGATGCTGACGAATCTCCTCCTTTTTAAATAAAGGAGTTGGTTCAGATTTACCAGGTCAGAATGGGAGCGCGTGGAGCAAGAAGTGGGACTACCTTTTCTGTTAAGTGAAAGTTGTTGGGACTTCAGGTGATGTGAGCAGAGCGTTCAGCTGAGCGGGTGATGGAGGATCCCAGCTCGGCTCGGGCTGCAGCGACCAACACGACCGGGGCTGCGGGCGGCTTGTCCCGGAGGAGCCAGCTGCTGCTGGAGGTGCTGCTGGTGCTCATGTGTTCAGGAGCTGTGATGGGTAATCCATTAACATTTATTTAAACACCACTACACTTTCTTCTCCGTCTACAAAAATACATTTAATTAAAAATGAATTAATACCATAAAGTGAAGGCAGTAAATTATTCAAGTGCTTCACATGAATTTACTCTGATTGTAAAGAAATAAACTTTTTTTTGTTGCATCTTAACTGTTTAGGTTTACCAGATAAAAAAATTTGTGTTTTATGAGCTTTAACATTATGTTTAGTACAAAATATATATTTTTTATGATTTATGTTTTATGTTTTTGCAAGAGATTTCTGAGATTTGTGCTTAAGGGCGTTCACCTATTTTAAATTCATGCTTTCACACCCCTTTCTTCCCAGTGCTTTGACCCAAGCGGGCGCATTTCATGCTTTGACGTGAAACCGGGTTTGCAAATGTATGTTTTTTTGTTATTCTCTGTAGAAATTGAGGTATGATTTTACAAACTAGTTAACAGTTTTATACCGTACATTTAAACATACAATCAGCAAAATCTGTAATTTTGGCAGAATAGTACCATTAATTTTAGGGTAATTACTTGCTTATGACATTACAGTATATTTCTATGAATTTTACAATTTCTCGAGAGTTTCACATTAAAATTATGTGTTTTCCACATATAACTGTTTAAATAATGGAAAATGTCTGTTTCTTGTTTTACAGTAGTTCAGTGCATTGACTACGGTGATATACTGTTTTGGATTTAACGGTCTGTTACTGTTGCAATTTGACAGATTTTTACTGTAATTTCTATGGATTTTTTTTTTAACAGTGTAGAGATCTTGTGTACATTTTGTGTAGCTTTCATTAAAGACTATATAGTATGTAAACACATGCATACACACACACACACACACACACATAT